CCCCAAAACCCCAAAACCCCAAAACCCCATAAATCCCGAAAAAGGTTGATTAAATTTATTTATAGCTACATATGGAAATCAGACCAAAGCCTAGGGATAGGAACCAGCAGGTAATTCTTAAGCTTTGGGCAAAGATAATGCTTATTTTAGACCAACAAAAATACTCATGATGATAGACACTCAGATGCAGCCAAAATACTCATGGATTTTCAGAAATAAATATCTTGAAGTATCATCTAACTCTAAATTTAACCAAGAGGAGCTCCTCAAACAGATAGAAGGTATTTTTTAACATAATTTGGTAGAGGAAATGGACCTTAAAATGTCAAGAGGTAATTTTGTGTGTAAATATGTCTACTAGAACTACAAAGTGCAGTTCTGACCGAAAGCAAAGACTTTTCTAAATCGAGCACTTTCAGAAGAGACCCTACAAATATTTTCAATGAGATCTTGGTGAATAGAATTTCAAGCAACCACCCAAGTAAGCCTGGTTGCTAAATTATTAGCCAAGCATAACAAGTCTGGCCATGAACATAGAGATCGTAGGAATTCTAGGATTAGGAATTATAAGCCTAAATCAATGAATGAAATCATTAGAGAGAAAGTCAGGGAGCAATACAAGAAGAATGGAAATGACCAAACAGACATTGCTAAAGTACTTTACCTTATAATCCACGTAGCTGCTCAATAAGGATATTGAACTTAATATGGAAACAGACCGGCTTAAAACCCTTGTACTTCAATATCTGACTTCTAGAGAGAAAATTTCTATAGAGAAATTAAGGAGGAAACAGAAAAACTTATTATACAAAATACAAATATGCCTGCCAAGAAGGATCCCTTCGTACATCAAGGAAGTATTCATACTTCGAAGCACCCTACAGAATCTGGGTTCAACAAGGATTCTTTCTACAGTAGCAGTAACGGAAGAATTGTTGTGGCTGCTCAAAAGGCCATTGATCAGACTCAGAAAGGTATCGAAGAGACAAGCCAATTGCATCAAAAGCAAGTCAAACTGTATAAAAAGCTCTTGAAAGCTCAGAGTCAGAAAGAGAGTGAGCGATACAAGAGACAAGGCAGAAAGAAGAAGCATATTGATATTAATGGGATCATTGACAGCCAGCTAAGAGTTGATGGGATAGTTAAAGACTATTTCCACAACCAGATTATTAGTAGTAAGAAGATTGGTCTCCAGGATTACCGATATAAAAATCAAGGTGGATTTTGGAAACCGAATAATTATTCATCAGATGAGTTCAATGTTATCTATAATGTCACTAAAATGACCCTCCCAGGTAGGAAATCTCTGATCTGTAGAAAGTCTGGAAAGCCATTTTGATATGAGACTCATTAGAAGTTCAGATGGAAGTGGAATGGGCAATGCCTTCTTCTTTAATAAATCTGAAGTTTATCAAGAGCGTATCCCTGATAGCACAACTATGAAAGTTTTGAGCAAGATTGAGGTAAACCATTATGAAGAAAGCCCAGAAATTAAGAGGATATTACCCAGGCCATCTGACTTCAGAGCTTATCGTAAATTTCTCGTGTAAAATTTAGAGCTTCATTCCCAGTCATTTTTAAAAGAAATGTTTGAAAACAATGGTACAGTTTTCCTCTCAAATATAGTATCAAGAAAAAGTGAGCCCAGGGCTAATGATGGAAGAATAAGTAAGTTAATACTGAAGAACACCTTGACTGTTATAGCTCTCACTGAGAGGAATAATCTTCACAGACAGAGAAACACTGGTAGGTGCTTGGAGAAACTTTCCTAGTCGTTCTGAAAACCATTCGCTGATTTTAAATTCTAGCAAATCAATTAGCAGGAAGAGAAGAAAGTAAAAACAATGCAAACGGTAAGCTAGTTTTTAAAGAATCATTCTAAGATTTATAGGTGCCAACGCATCTCCCCTTGCTTATGGTGAGACTATTACTGAAGAGTCTCTGATAACATCAGTAGCATCTGATATCTCTGAAAGCAACATCAGAGATGTCACCGGCACCATCGAGCTAGGCGATGGTAACTCCTACATCTCATCAATAGGTAAAAGAATCAGGGTTGATCGTCACGGAAACACTATTAAGGCAGAGAAGAAGTTCAAGATCCAACTTCTAGTTGATCTTCTTAGTAATGAAGAAGAGAAAAGTTGGGATTCCGAAGATGAAGATGGCGAACTCAGTTATCGAGAAGAGTCTTCACTCGATTTAGAAATCTCTTTCTTTTAATATTCACCAAATTCCTTTAGATTTCTCAGAAATTTCTTAACACCATGAAACAGCCTGTAGACTCTCTCTTGGTTCTAGATCCCTTGTTTAGGCCTAATGGGGGATCTGCACTATTAGTATTCATTAATACTAAATATCTTGGGGTTTTGGGGTTTTGGGGTTTTGGGGTTTTGGGG